ACTAGGTGCTTCGCGGTACGACGGTCAGAACGGGAGGATCAGTCCTCATCTTAGTCGTTGTACACACGTATTTCGGGGAGTAAGGGGGTTGCTATATCTGGTCCTTCGTCTTGGGAGTTGGGTTTTTGTTCAACGTTGTAGAGTATGCTGCGACATACTATACTTTGTTGTTGGCTACACTTTTGTTGGGTCAACAAGCACAGTATGCTGCGACATACTGTACTGTTTGGGTCCTTCTTGTTGGCTACTCTTGTTGGCTACTCTTGTTGGCTACTCCTGTTGGCTACTCTTGTTGGCTACTCTTTTGTCAACTTGTATCATATGCTGCGACATACCATATTTGTTGTTGGCTACTCTTTTGGGTCAACTTGTATCGTGTGGTGTGCCGCGACATACTGCACTATGCTTTTTGGGTCATGTTTTGGGTCGTGTATTGGTATAGTACTGGTTGTGTTGTGGGTGTGTCCGTTTTTTTTTTTCTTTTTTCGGGGCGATATTAATATATTTTTCGGTTCATTGTGTAGTTTTCTCGCGTGTTATATTTTAATATATTTTTCGGTTCATTGTTTAGTTTTCTCGCGTGTTATGGGTTTCATTGTATAGTTTTTGCGCGTGTTATGGGTTTCATTGTATAGTTTTTGCGCGTGTTATGGGTTTCGTTGTATAGTTTTTTTTTTTTTTTTTTTTTTTCCCATTTGTGGTGGGCTTCGTCTTCTGCTTGATCTGCGTTATGTGTTTTTTGGTGTAATGTTGGTGTGTTCCACTGACAGCATTGTGGGTCGCTCCATGGTGAGTTCAAACTCTTGGTTGAAGAGGCTTGAAGTTACTGTTTTTCGATGAAAGTCTGGTGTCATCTTTGCCTTCAACATGAATGGTAATCCAAAGAGTGTGTTGATGGGTAGTTGCTCTGTCAATCCGATCATCAACGTGTGATTTTCTCCATCCTCGTTGGCAAAAGGGGTGTAGTATTCAATGATTGCCTTGATGTTGACACTGTCTTTGATTCCTCCAATCTTGATGGGGACATAGTGAATCTTTGGAAAGTCGTACACCTGTTTGACCAAGTGGGGGTATTGTTTTGCGATGGCGAGGTGGTATGCTTTTTCTCCTATGTTGCAGCATCCTCCAGTGTCATATATTCCTTTCAAGTTGGCTGTGTCTCTGCGGTTGAGGCCAATTGGGAAGTGCATCACTGCTAGAACTTCGTTCACTGAGAAGTCCAATTTTTGTGCTTGTTCCATTGCTGCAAAGCTTCCGACCATCATGAAAGTGAGTGGGGGGTCCGTTCTCATTTGCTTCCTCTTTTGTCCATTGTTGTTGCCCGTGTGTTTGGTGATTGTTTTGGCCAAGTTTATCAACAGTGTTCTTTGTTCATCTTCCCGCGTTTCTGGATGCTCAATCTTTTGAATTGATTCATAAATTATTTGATTAATATAACCACTATCCTTGTAACTTGTTATCGTGCTTTTGTGTCGTCTCTGCTCTCTCTTTAGTCTGTAGTCCTCTAGGCTTTGTTCAAACTGGCTGATAACTCCCGGATCTCCTTTGTGGGGGCATTCTCTGAAAGAGTGGCCTATCCTTTGGCATCCCCAACAACGGATCGAAGGTGTTTCGTCACTTTCTTCTTCAATGTTGAGTGCTTCTTCAGCAGCACTCATGCATGCTAGCATTGTTAGGGCAGCTTGTGGGCAGTATAGTTTGCTGTTGGGTGTCGGGACCAACAATTGTCTTCCTTGTCCGTCAGTGACTCGGACGTTTTGCTTTGGTGTGGGCGTCAATGCGGTGTGGAAGGTTCCGGCGGTCTCGATCGTTGGAGTTTGGGAGGAGCCATTGTCTTGGAATCCTTGGAATTCTTGTTGGTGAAATCCTGCAAAAGCTCTTCCTCCTGCACTTGGTGGTGCAGATAGCCCTGGAACGTAGCTTCTGTTTGGTCCGACTCGTCCCGCGCTGTTTGCAATTCCCACACTTTGCTTGATGCGCTTCTCCTCCTTCGCAGCTCGTTCGCGTAGGCGGTGCATTCGAGACAGGTTGCTGGGGTAGTCCATAAGTAGTGGTCCTGCAGCTCCCGTTTCTAGGTGTTCAGCCACAACGTCCTTGATTTCTTGTGTGAAGGCTTGGAACGCGACTCCTGCCAAGTCTGATAGGTTGGTTGGCGGGGGATTCTCGTGGTTGAACCCGTTTAGAATTGTGGCAATTCTGCCAAATAAAGTAGCCACGCTGTCGTACATCATCGTGCCTCCTTCGTATCGGATCATGTTGAGCTTTGCCAGTTGTTGGTTTGGCGTCTCCATTCCTTGTTGTAGTCCGACGTAGGTGGCCGTGAGTGCTTGTTCTAGTGCTTGGAATTGGGTCTTTGCAATCTGTTGCTTGGACCACTTTTCGTAGGCCTCGTTATCCGGTTCTCCGTCTCTGGTTGCGGCCCTCATCGAGAACTCTTCTCCCAATGCTGCCATTGCTGCGATGATTTCCTTGTGATGTGCTTGGTCCATTATCATTTGGCGAGTGATGGAAACGTCCATCTGATTCTGGACTCTTGGCACTGGAACGTAGACAGCTCTATTGGACGACGGCGGGAACTTTGTTGGGTTGATTCCGATATCCGTTCGTAGGGAACAGAGCCGTGGGACCAATCGGAGCTCGATTCTGAAGTATGTGGCGGCAGCTCTAAATGGGGCTGGAAGTCCTGGTCCCGGTCCTGTAGCGATCGCTTGTCCAGTGTTGTCGATGACGTGTAGGCTTGTAAACTCGTACACGTCACTATTCACGTCGAACAATTCGCTGGTGGCGGCGTTGACTCTCGAGCGAACGTCTGGGCATACTGATGTGTAGCGCTTCATCAGAAAATCCACCTTGTGTTCCATTGTTGTTTTCGTCTGCTTGATGGAGTTCACAGACTGTTGTAGGATCGCTTGCTTGATTTCCGGAGACTCTGTAGTTGGAGCCAGAACGGCAGTATCGATGGTATACTGGTTGTAGGTGATGGTTTCGTCAACGTGGCTTCCGTTGACCCAATACGATTTCTCGTTGACACGATCGCTTCGTTTTTTGTTTTTTTCATATTTGTGATGCGACGCGGCAGTCGTCGCGGCGAATGCTCCGTTCTCCATATTGACAGGACTTGCTGACATCATCGCGAACGCGTTGCGCTGGAAATGATCAGGGTTGAACTGTCCTCCCCATGGGTTAGCTGATCGTGTGAACAAACTTGGTGGCTCTGACTGCGAATCGAATGCGTTTGGGCTTCGAATCTTGGGCTGGCTTCCACTTAACGTGCTAACGTTGTGCTCCTGGCTCTCATCGTAGAGAGAGCGTACTAGTGCGTTGATGTAGCTACTGTTGGACATGATAGACGGTGATTGATATTGCTATTGGGGTGTATTTACGGGGGTCTGAAGCAGCTGTGAGTAGATGATAGATGATTGATCTTGGGCTTGAGATTGGCGACAACCGTTGGCCTTCGATCGCTCTAATATATCTGCTCGGGACTCGGCAGTCCAGTCAGTCACGTTACGGGGAACGTTTGTTGAATTTAGCACGTCCTGTGTAAGGTGTAGAAACCCAGTCCATCTTGATGCCAATAGGGATAGAGAAGTCAAAGTGACGCATGATTTCTTTCGCATAAGCGTCAAAATTAACCTCTGGCGGGATAAAGGCAAAGCAACCCACTTTAACAATGTCCCCATATTGAAGCGGTGACGGGTAACATCCGGCACCGCGACCCTGGGAACGGAGACCAGTGTGAAGATAGTCCTGTACCGCCTCTTCCGACGTGTCCCTTGCAAAGCCGACCCGCATTCGGGTACGTAGTTTCTTCTCGCCAGGCTTGCTGTTGGTTGCTGCATAAGGAGAATTCCCATATTCCATATCGCAGTAAAGACTCAGGGCCCGGTAGGACGAAATTTTGTTGCGTAACTCAACCGAGTTCCGAATCCACCGGTTCTGTTGTTTATAAGTGTCGTCGGAGATAGGAAGGATCTTCAACTCGTGAAAGGAGTTGTTCAAAGCTTCCTCCATGGATGTCAGCACCGCAGATAAAATGGCCTCAGCAACCGTGCCGGAGTCCGATCCCGAGAAATTTGTCGCAAATGTGGTCTCAAAAATATGACATCTGCAGGTCATCCCATCCAAGTTAACTTGAATTAATTTGTTAAGTTTCTCAGCAAGAGTGGGCGGTGGAGCGAGGCGACGTGTAGGTGGAGGTGTATGGATCAATGAAGAGCTGTCCTGAGAGACCTGAGTTGGGCTTGTCAAGCTGTCAACCGCCATGTTGTCGTCTTCTGATCTCACCAGTGCTTCTACAGATTCTGTCTGAACCACCGCACCGTTGCTCATCGCATCATCATCCTCATTATCATCATCATCCTCATCTCCGTCGTCCTCATCATCTGAAGAAAGTGGTGGGCGTCTTGGGTTGTTTCGGACCGCCGTCACTAGTATTTCATCGTCATCATTGTCCTGATTTGGTTGTTGGTAGGCATCACCGTCAATAGTAGTGGCATCATCGTCCTCAGCCTCGGCATTGTCAGCATTTCCCCCACTTGATCCGTCTTCATCCGCCAGTGTCTTGTATCTATTGTCGGTCAGATTACAATGACGCTTCCTTTGATCCACTAAAGTCGTTTTGTTCAAATGAGACTTGCCTACCGCATTGTCCAAATAGTCATTCATTGGATCACTGATCTTCTGGGTTGCATGTTGAATATGATGATTTGAACTTTCTGGTCGGAAAAGGACTGAAAAGGTGCCAATTGTTTTTGTTTGATGCCACAAATGATTGACGAAGACGGCTCGTTATAGTAGTCGTCGTCGAAGGTTGTTGCCCATGGATAATCAAACATTTCAGAACAAATCAACCAAAAGCCAACAAGCGGATTTTCCAGACGAAGGCGAGGATCCGACTTGTCCCCTTCAAAGAATTGATTGTTGTTCTGGTTTTTTTCAAATTCGTCAATACCAAAGAACGAGAAAGGGTTCTGCAATGAAATTCGCATTGCAAGAACTCGCAGTGACCAGACGTCTTCGGCTGCTGTATCCTCGATTGTGTAGAGATCAAAAGAGGAGATGAGATATTGAGCCAGTTGGGCGTTATCAGAGTTGAGATAAGTAAAAATCTGAAGAAATCGATCGTTGCATGTTGATGTGCCGGCATAGTCGTTGAACAGGGCATCAAATCGCAAACAAGGTTGATTCCAAGCGCCTGGATATCGATCATCCCAGGCTGCAAATAAGGCGTTGCCGGTTTGAATGCAATCCATTCTTTGCATCGCTTGATTGACTGCTTCAAGCTTGGAATGTATTGTACGCGACACTGTCCTTGTGGTAAACAAAAGAAGAATTGTGGAAACATAAAGCAGCAAAACAAAATTAGTAAGGAAGTTTGTAGCAGCTGTAACAAGAAGCGAAGGCTTGTCACCCGTTGTCAAATTTGCAAGATGTGCAGTGATTGCTTTACTTGTGTCACCAAAACTCCTGCAAAAAAAGATCCAATTACGGAGAAACAGTGAGCCGAATACAACTCGCTGCTCAAGAGAAGACTCCTCTCGCTACACGTTTGGCAACTGGAGAGCTTGTACAAGATTGGACTGGGATCAAAGAAGCTCGGCTCTTTGAGGCTGTGGGTCTTGATCAGTCCACTTATCGTCATATGCCCAGTGCCACAATTTGTCAAGAAAGCAACACACTTGAACAGATAGAGATGATGAAGCATTCGGATCGTGGGTGCAATGAACTTGTGCGCGTCATGAATCGCATCTATGAAGAATGTGCAAGGATTCTCTTGCCAAGGGATGCGGAATGGCTACAAGACCGGCACTATGTGAAACTAAGCAAGTCGCGAGGCGTGCCGGCAGATCAGAAGAAGAAAGTCGCAATCTTGGAGAAATTTGCCAAGGGGCTCTTTATTCTTGTCAAAAGATGCCGCAGCATACCATGGCCTATCGGATTGCAAGAGCAATCATTGTAGACAATGCAACCAAGGGCGAGCTTGCCAACGTTTTTAGTGATCTAGACCCTCCAAGGTTCTGCCGCGTTGCTCAAAAACGTGGATGCAAAGACATGGCTAGAGCCATCAAATGAAGGCTACCGTGCTATTGCACACGCATGCAATGGTTCATGTCCGTAAGTGAACGGGATCAGCCTTTGTGGAAGCCCGTCGATGAAACTACGATAACACACTCTTTTTAACAATACGATTCGATCTACGTTACTATCCTTAGCATCTACTACTTCGTAAGTCAACACCCTCGTAATAACATAACGATTACATTT